CAGAGAGAGTGAGACCAGAGAGAGTGACCAGAGAGAGAGCGACCAGAGAGAGTGCGACCAGAGAGAGTGCGACCAGAGAGAGTGCGACCAGAGAGAGTGAGACCAGAGAGAGTGAGACCAGAGAGAGTGAGACCAGAGAGAGTGAGACCAGAGAGAGTGAGACCAGAGAGAGTGAGACCAGAGAGAGTGAGACCAGAGAGAGTGAGACCAGAGAGAGTGAGACCAGAGAGAGTGAGACCAGAGAGAGTGAGACCAGAGTGAGTGACCAGAGAGAGAGTGACACAGAGAGAGAGCGACCAGAGAGAGTGCAACCAGAGAGAGTGCGACCAGAGAGTGTGCGACCAGAGTGTGTGCGACCAGAGTGTGCGCGACCAGAGAGAGTGCAACCAGAAAGAGTGCGACCAGAGAGAGTGCAACCAGTATTTTTTGTTGTTTTTTTTTATTTTATTTTCTTTTACAATTCCCTTGGTGGGACCACAGACTGATAGTCTGTGGGGTTAGAGTGTGAGCCTACTGACCCATCCACGGAACAGAAGGTGGCGGTAATGCGCAAAAATAGGTCGCCAACCGCCGGAAAAACCTAACAAGAAGAAGAAGAAGAGAGTGCGACCAGAGAGAGAGCGACCAGAGAGAGTGCGACCAGAAAGAGTGCGACCAGAGAGAGTGCGACCAGAGAGAGTGCGACCAGAGAGAGTGCGACCAGAAAGAGTGCGACCAGAGAGAGTGCGACCAGAGAGAGTGCGACCAGAGAGAGTGCGACCAGAGTGTGCGCGACCAGAGAGAGTGCGACCAGAGAGAGTGCGACCAGAGAGAGTGCGACCAGAAAGAGTGCGACCAGAGAGAGTGCGACCAGTATTTTTTGTTGTTTTTTTTTTCTTTTCTTTTCTTTTACAATTCCCTTGGTGGGACCACAGACTGATAGTCTGTGGGGTTAGAGTGTGAGCCTACTGACCCATCCACGGAACAGAAGGTGGCGGTAATGCGCAAAAAAAGGTCGCCAACCGCCGGAAAAACCTAACAAGAAGAAGAAGAAGAGAGTGCGACCAGAGAGAGAGCGACCAGAGAGAGTGCGACCAGAAAGAGTGCGACCAGAGAGAGTGCGACCAGAGAGAGTGCGACCAGAGAGAGTGCGACCAGATAGAGTGCGACCAGAGAGAGTGCGACCAGAGAGAGTGCGACCAGAGAGAGTGCGACCAGAAAGAGTGCGACCAGAGAGAGTGCGACCAGAGAGAGTGCGACCAGAGTGTGCGCGACCAGAGAGAGTGCGACCAGAGAGAGTGCGACCAGAGAGAGTGCGACCAGAAAGAGTGCGACCAGAGAGAGTGCGACCAGAGAGAGTGCGACCAGAGAGAGTGCGACCAGTATTTTTTGTTGTTTTTTTTTTCTTTTCTTTTCTTTTACAATTCCCTTGGTGGGACCACAGACTGATAGTCTGTGGGGTTAGAGTGTGAGCCTACTGACCCATCCACGGAACAGAAGGTGGCGGTAATGCGCAAAAATAGGTCGCCAACCGCCGGAAAAACCTAACAAGAAGAAGAAGAAGAGAGAGCGACCAGAGAGAGAGCGACCAGAGAGAGTGCGACCAGAAAGAGTGCGACCAGAGAGAGTGCGACCAGAGAGAGTGCATCCTGGAGAGAGATAATAGAGAGAAATAAACCTGGACAGTAGTGCTAGTCTTCAAAAGGCTTCACTCGCTCATTCAGTATGGAAAGTAGCAGATCTTTAATCCAATATATAATCCATTATAAGATGTATATTAAATGATACCAGGCTTGCCTCTCCACAAACCTGACTCGTATAAATTATTACATTAATGGTTGAGTGTGACAGATGGAGGGTCAGTGTGCCCTTTGCACCCTGTGTCTCCTGTTCATGTTGAGCTGATATATGTTAAAAAATCATGAAGACATAGATCTGAGTTAAAGAGTCAAAAACATATGAGACGTTCTCAAACACAAAACAATAAAAAATTTGGTTTTTAATTTTATATTTTGAATGGACGTCTTGAATGAACATTTTTGGGGACTGAAAGCTGACCCCGACCATCTGCTCTACTGTGTTTTAAGGTTCAAGTGGCATATACATACATTTGTGTATGCATGAGAACAGACTAGATCGGGTTCAGTCAGTTAAGGTACGGCAAGGAAAGGCAAGGCATGGAAAGATTATTTGTATAGCACAGTTCATACACAAGGCAACTCAAAGCACCTAAAACAAGATAGAAGGAATCACAAAGACATTACCTTTATAATATTTTTTCATTTCATTTTCAACCCCTTTATTAGTCCATTTCTGGGTCGGGGGGGTGGCAATGAGAGCTGCCACCCAATGCTCATAGCACCAGTCCCTCACTGATCTTCTGCAGGGGGTGAGTCCACAGGAAGATGGCTGCTCCATCAGTTGTGATACAGCCTTGATCTTTCAGCGGGGGCTTCAGGCAACGTGGGGTTAAGCCCAAGGACACAACGACAGCAGTCATCAGTGGGAGCAGTTGGAGTAGGTCCCATGGTGGGATTCGAACTCACGACCTCCAGGCCCAGAGGGCCAATGCTCTACCAACTGAGCTACTGTCGCCCCTACCTTTATAATAATCACAGTACATATAATTTAAGCCTCATTCCTTCAGTTGTACAGCTAAAGATGACTGTTTTCAACCTGGATTTCAACATTGTCAGAGTAAGAGCCTGTCTCACATTTTCAAGAAGACTGTTGCAGATTTTAGCTGCATGAATCTGAAATCCTCCCCATGCTTTAGTTAGAAGAGAAATAGAATATGGCTTGTATTCCTTTTGTAGCGCACTGAAAAATTAAACCATGTCCATGTTTTTGTCTCGTTGCTTGCCTTTCCACAAACTTTACTCATACTAGGGGCCTCCTGCTCCATATTGGTCTCAGGATCTATGAGGACTGAGCTAAAGGGTACAATCACAGATATAAGCGGTCCCTGTGGTGAGGAGCTTGGAGTCGAGCCACTGCTCCATACGCGTCGCGAGTGACGTGAAGGGGTCGTTCGGTGGTTTGGGCCCTGTAGTAGTGTAGTGTAAGTAAGTAAGTAAGTTTTTATTTATACCGCCTTTCACTGCGATCGAGTCTCAAGCGGTTACATGTAATTGGCATTGTCTCCACTCCACAGAGAGGGGCGGGTCGCAGTACAGAGCGCATGCAGACTATGGACATTTTTGTGGTAGGGAACCGAGTACCGGAGAACCTACGCAGACCGGGGAACATGCAAACTCCTCAAAGGCCTGGTCGACCGGTTCGAACCGGACTTCTTGCTGAGGCGAGTGCATCCATCAGCCCGTGCGCCAGTGGAGGTGTGGTGGGACCGGAGGAAGACCCAGGACTCGGTGGTCCTGTCTCTCAGTCTGGGCATCTCCGCTCGGTCAGCTGCCTCCATGGCCTGGCTGCAAAATTATGATTTGTAAACAATATTTCCAAGAGCAGGTGACAGACCTCCAGAAAGAAAGATGTTGTTGCTATGACATCATGACATAGCAAAAACATCTATTTAACTTTTGTATATAGTTTTGTAACTTCCAATTGCTTAGAATGGTAATTATAATACTCTGATTCTTGATGTGACAAGTGAAACCAGAAAAATCATAATAACGTTTAAAAGTTCAACCTGTGAAATGTAAAACCAGTATACGAAACAGACTCATTATGCCAAGTGACAAAAGCCAAGCATTTGTTTGTTATTAAGTAGTTTTCACAATATAACTCTTTAACTTTGTGTAAGAAGTCTGTCATATTCACAATTAAAGTTGAATCACAGAGGCAAAAATACTTTTGAACAGTAATAATATATCTGAGTTAGTATACGTGTATAAGCCTACAGTGCATACTATGGAATTGGTCCTGACCACAATGACCGAAAGGCCGAGTTTCCTCCGCCGAATGACTGGGAGCTCCCTTAGAGGTGTGGGTGAGGAGCACAGTGGCACGGAAGGAGCTCAGAGTAGAGCTGCTGCCACTACACATGGAGAGGTGCCAGTTGAGGTGGCTCGGGCATCTGTTCCGGATGCCTCCAGGACATGACCCACTGGGACGAGACCCCGAGGAAGACCCAGGACACTTTGGAGGGACAGTGTCTCTCAACTGGCCTGGGAACGCCTTGGGGTCCCCTAGATGAGCTGCAGGAAGTGTGTGTGGATAGGGAAGTCTGGGTATCTCTGCTTAGACTGCTGCTACCCGGCACCGGATTAAGCGGAAGAATTCAGATTCCTTTTAATTGCAGCAAAACTACATAGGAATACATGTGCAAAAGTACCACAGTGTGCATCAGACAAGTATATAGAAATGGATGGATGGTCCTGGTTTACTTTTGAATACAACCATGACGGCAAGTCCTGCGTAGCTTTAAAACAGTTGTTTTGTGCTTTACATTCATTGTTTTTCTTACTTTTTGTTAATGTTACTGCAGTACAGTGCATGGTTCTATCTATCTATCTGATTTTCTCTATTCTGAAACGCACTGGTCTGTATTGCTGTGTTAATGCCTTTAACGTGTACATTGCCTGTGCGATGGAACACGCATAAAAACAAAAAAAGTGGCTAATGGGTCCTATAATAACCACCTTGGTAGACCCATGCCTGCTTTCACCCTTCTCTTATTGAGCAGAGGTCCGCGTGTGTTCGGGAGGCGTGTTATTAAGGGGATCTCAGTCCGGGTACCACCACCTCACAGTTTAGTCTCCAGCGCATGCAGACTCCTTCTTTACGCACGCTGCTGTCCCATCCTCTATCTCTCTATACACTTCTCTATTCTGAAAAAAAGTGCTAGTAGTAAAAAGCTGTAGGTGCAACAAGTTTGACTCTCCTGGATTCTCCCCCCTCATCAGGCGCGCGTCTCTCCGTCTCCACACGCACGGTCCTTCTCTGCGTCTTCCTCCATACAGTATACATACGCGCGTCGGGAAGAGTCGCTGCGCTCTGATTGGTGACACGGCCCCAAATGCAGTTCGTTCCTAGCTGCTACACGCTTTCAGTCAGTCACTAACATGAGCACCCCGGAGGCGAGAGGAGCAGCGAAGTGCGAAGAGGCCAACATGGAGAAAGAAGCCCACAAGAAGACGCGCCAATGCCAGAACTCGGCCGCGCTCGGACTGGTGTCATCGCTGTTTTCCGTGGCGTCCGTCGCCTTTTGCGTCTTTCTGAGCTTCAACACGGCCGAGATCAGGAGCCGAGTAGTGGATTTGGAGAGCGGGAAAGGCGAGCACACCTTTGGTCATTCCGTGGAGGATTTAAACTCGTTAATTCAGCAAAAAGTGGATGAGGTACTATCTCAGGTGAGAATATTATTACAGTCTACATTGATCCAACTTTCCTTTTCAGCCTCTTATAACCTCTCCATATCTCATATCTCACTTCTGATTAATCACCAACTCTGCATAAATCTATACATTGACTTTCCCCAGCTGATACACGTCACTCAAATTACTGCAAATGAATGAAAATGGCATGTTTTTTTGTTTTCATTGCAGCGCACCTATGAGAATTACGTGAGGACTCGCACCGCCAGGCAGGCGTCACCAGAATGCAACTGTCCACCAGGTAAAAAACAACATATTTCCCCTATATGCACTACTGTATTTATTATTATTATTGGCTTAATTGTATTGAAAGTGAATGAAAAAGTCTCCAGGGGATAGTCTTGCATTGCATTTGTGCGTATGCTGGCGGGTAGCAGAGAGTTTGCAGTCCTTTTAGGCATTTATCCTAGAGCTAAAGATGCGCTAGGGGTTTGTATGGCCACTGGTGTTGCTCACTTGTTCTTTTGGAAATGGGAAATAAAGCAAGGTACCTGGCGTTCCCCTTTATGGCCAGTAGATGGACACATTTATTCCTGGTTTAGAGCATAGTTGAGATTTGGGATTGAGGAGTCTGCAAGTGGACTGTGAAGGAATCTTTGAAGCTAATATTTGTCACATTAACCTTCATATTTGGTATCTGTACATTGATCTGAATTATGTGATTGACAATACTGCTCTTTTTTACCATTTGTGATATGAGCGTGAATGTATTTTCAGGAGTATTGACTCTCAAAGTACAAAACTGATTTCACTTTTTTAGGTTCTGAACATTTTGAACAGCCTGTGAAATCAGCTAACTAGTTTTGACAGTGTGTACGCGTTTGCTTTGTCTTCTGTTGACAACCACATCGAAGATTGCCGTTGGAAACTTTCAATGCCAGAGTTCATGGTTGCAATTTTGCAGTTATAAAATGGCAAGTTTATATTTTAGCTTCAGTAGCAGGAAAACATGACAGTTTGGATTCGACAGTAGCAATTTGCTTCAGGTACTTTAGGGGTTTTTGGTGTCCATTTCTCATTTGTGTGGTATCTGTGATGAGAGACTAGACTTTGACATAGTTGGTAAGGATGCTTAAAGCTGGGGTACCTAACCTTTATGTTTTCTCAATAATACATGTTACCTGAACGTGTAATTTTGTGAACAAATCAGACCACAACATGCATAGCTTAATATAATGCTGTCTCAATTCTATTAGATTATTTATTATTCAACTAACCAGGAAAGTCCAGGAATCTCATTTCAGGGGAGTCCTGGCCAAAGGGAGAAGGGGGGGGGGGGGTTGCTATAGAGGACTATTATACAGGTTTTTAGTGGTAAGGCGCACCCGGAGGAAACCTATCTCAGACATGAGGCAAACATACAAATCCACATACAAACTCCACACAGACGGGTCTGGAGGTGGAATTGAACCCATGACTACTTGCTGTGAAGCATAAGCGCAAATCATGACGTCGCCGTGCCGCCCAGTTCTTAGAATTATCTGTATTATCTTTTGCATTGTAAGAAATAGCCCTGTGAGTCACAATTTGAGCTGAGAACTGATTGGCTGAGCGAGGGTTGTTCTCTCTTTGCCAGAAATTATAATTGTATATGTAGTGGTTTAAAAGTTACATACCCCAGCTTTAGGTTCAGGTTGTTGGATGATGAAGAGGCCTTGGAAGGACAACTGGGAAACTAGAGCAGTTTGGAAATGTTCTTTCACTGACAGAATCCTGCTTCACGTCAATATAATACATGAGAGAATAGAGAGTCCATGTTATTGGCACAGCCTGGATAATTTAGCATTTACATTTGGCTTGCAACTCGACATCCATTTCTTCTATTTTTGACATTTTCGACTCGATAATTGATATTAGTTCAGCGCGATGTATTCCGAGAGGCCCGCGCAGCTTGTCCGGGCGAGCCACATGTGAACCGAGTCCTACCTGCAGCAGGAAACTGACATGTTTTCACAACTTCTCCAAGTGGGCTGAAAGTGGATCTCCGTCGGCCCATATGGAAACGAGATACAGTAAGTGTGAACACCGAGTCGCTGACCTCTCAGGAAACACTGAGGCAGTGACAAAGAGCAGAGCCGGTCTGCGGTGGGACGTCCCGACAGCGCCAGGTGGCTAGGTCTGTGCGCCGCGAGAGGAGAGTGTTCCGCCCAGATCAACACGATAGTGGTGAAAGACGCCTCACTGATCTTCACTGTTGAGCCCTAATGGTGTCATAGTTAAAGGGCTGCGGCTGTGAAGGGCAAAACTGTTGTTGTGTACTTAGGCAACACACTTCACCCACGTTGCCTATAATGAGTCTGTGTGAGTGAATGGTTGGTGGTGATGGGAGGGGCTGATGGCACATACTGGTTGCTTGACTTATGTCAGTCTGTCCCAGGGCAGTTGTGGCTACAGTAGTAGTCTCACTAATGTGTATGGAGTAAATGAATGACATGTGAAGTATCAATGAGTGTCCAAAAATACACTATCTAAACCCGATTATTATTTATAAGCATAAATATTATAAATATGTTTACATTTGTCGACCAGATCCAATCAGAACGCAGAACAGGTTGCCAGTTTGTAGGTGAAAAACCTCTCAAACTCAAAAATTGCACCACAGGTGTGTTTGAATGAAAGCAGAGGGTTATATGTAACACAGGTTTTGTACTGTTTAAACTCCGCAGTTGGATCGTAATAATAATAATGCATCGCTTTTATATAGCGCTTTTCTGGACACTCAAAGACGCTTCACATGTCATTATTCTTTCAATCCATACACAGTGGTGATAAACTACTACTGTAGCCACAGCTGCCCTGGGGCACACTGACAGAAGCGAGGCAACCAGTATGTGCCATCGGCCCCTCCGACCACCACCAACCATCCACACACACATACCAGACTCATTCTAGGCAATGGGTGTGAAGTGTCTTGCCTAAGGACACAACGGCAGTTTGGCACTTTACAGCCGCAGCCGCCCCACTGTGGCTGGTATTCCCAGAGGTTAAGTGTCTTGCCAAGGACACAACGACAGCAGGAGTTGATGGTGAAAGTCGGGCTTGAACCCACGACCCTCTGGTTCATAGGCCAATGCTCTACCAACTGAGCTACTGTCGCCCTAATAATGACCACTAAGACTGCATATCATGTACTGTCTCTTTAAGATGGAACCAAACGGTTTTGAGAGCGAGGAATTAGATGGATTAGATGGATTTAATCTGGTTTGAAAGTTAGATACCCCAGTTAGGTAAGTCTGGTAAGCCAGTTTGCATCTTTTGAGACAGATCAGACAATCTACTGTATACTTTATCTGTAGAGATCTATATTGGTCTTATCAGAATCAGAATCAGAATCAGAATCATTTTTATTGCCACGTAAGTAACAGGAGGTCACAGACTAGGAAATTGCTTTGGCTCAGTGCAACAGTCAAAAAGAGGTAATAAAAATAAGAATAAAAAACACTTCTAAAGAATAAATTTAAATTTAAAGTAGAGTTACAGTTACTATTTACAATATACAAGTGCACATGGTGCACACAATGTAAGGTGACAGCAGTACAGTGAAGTAAAGTGACGTATGATGGGCAGTAAAGTGACTTTATAAAGGGCGGGGGGACAGGTTAAGAAGTGTTCAAGAGTCCAACAGCAGAGGGGAAGAAACTGTTCTTGTGGCGGGAGGTTCTAGTCCTGATGGACCGCAGCCTCCTGCCTGAGGGGAGTAGTTGGAATAGTCCATGTGCAGGGTGAGAGGGGTCGGCTGTGATACGACCAGCCCGGCCTCGAGCTCGGGCGACGTACAGGTCCTGCAGCGATGGGAGGCTGCGGCCGATCACTTCCTCTGCAGAGCGCACAATGCACTGTAGTCTCTGTTTGTCCCTGACTGCGGCTCCAGCGAACCACACGGTGACGGAGGAGGTGAGGATGGACTCGATGATGGCCGTGTAGAACTGCACCAACATCTGCGCAGGCAGCTTGGCTTTCCTGAGCTGCCGCAGGAAGTACATCCTCTGCTGGGCCTTCTTGATGAGGGAGCTGATGGTCGGCTCCCACTTGAGGTCCTGGGTGATGGTGGTGCCCAGGAAACGGAAGGACTCCACAGAGGTGATGGGGGAGTCCATCACGGAGGGGGGGGGTGGGGGGACAGTGCTCTTCCTGAAGTCCACAATCATCTCCACTGTCTTCTGGGCGTTCAGCTCCAGGTTGTTACCACTGCACCAGGACACCAGCCGGTCCACCTCCCTCCTGTAGGCGGACTCATCGTTGTTGGAGATGAGTCCGATGAGGGTGGTGTCGTCCGCGAACTTGATCAGCTTCACGGAGTCGTGGCTGGAGGTGCAGTGGTTGGTGTACAGGGAGAAGAGCAGGGGAGAAAGAACACAGCCCTGTGGGGCTCCTGTATTTATAATCCGAGAGTCCGAGACATTCTTCCCCAGACGCACTCGCTGCTTCCTGTCCGTCAGGAAGTCAGTGATCCACCTGCAGGTGGAATCGGGCACGTTGAGCTGGGAGAGCTTGTCCTGGAGCAGGGATGGCAGGATTGTGTTGAAGGCAGAGCTGAAGTCCACGAACAGGACCCTGGCGTAGGTCCCCGGGGAATCCAGGTGCTGTAGGATGTGGTGGAGGGCCAGGTTAATGGCGTCGTCTACAGATCTGTTGGCTCTGTAGGCGAACTGCAGGGGGTCCAGGAGGGGGGAGGTGAGGGACTTGAGATGGGAGAGAACCAGGCGTTCAAATGACTTCATGACAACAGACGTAAGTGCTACAGGTCTGTAGTCATTGAGTCCTGTGATCCTGGGCTTCATGGTCAATGAATAATTATGAATCATTTGTCCAGGTCTTCAGGAGATTTCTGATGTGAGGTGGTGGACTCTCTGAATATGCTTTTGTTAACTTCTAGAACTTCTCATTTCTGGTCAACTTTCTATGGCAGTTAAAGCCCCTTCTCTCAAGGTGCTGGTCCTGAACTGGTTCTGATTCTAAGCTGAACTTGTTTTTCCACCAGAAAAGTCCTCGTTACCTTAGCTACACTCTGTTTACTTGACAGCAGTTAGCATAGCCTTTCAACAAACTTTTTCTATATTTCAAGTTATAATCTCCAGTTTTAGTACTTATTTTAGGCAAAAACTGTATAAATTAAAGTGGTGAACTAAAACTTTTTCTGAATTCCTTTGATTAGAATGCGAGCTGTCAATATGACACTTGGGGGGTTCTAGTAGTTTCAGAATGTCAGGAGTCCGAGTGTTAACAACATAATATTTACTTTGCAAAACATTTTGAAGAGAGAACCGATTGACTGACTTCCTTTTTTAATGGCCATGATGTGTTTTATTTACATGATAAATACACAGTCAGTGCATAAGAACTACAGAGCACCAGTGCAACATATTTACTTGTGTATCGATCTAAAAGAAACGTTGGTGATATTGTGCGGGTTGAACATGCCCGAAGTGAAATGTGCTTTTGTTTTGTCGATTATGAGCGCTCCAAGCTCGACTGGAGTTCTAAATGAGCCATGTCTGAAAGTTTTCACAAGTGGTTTGTGAGTGATCAAGTGACTCATCCGCTGAGTGGGAATTCCTTCAGTAATGATCTTAAGTGCTGGAAGTATTAACCATAATTGGACGCTCCCAATCACACCGCGCTCTGATCTCCGTCCCAATCACAGGCCTGCAGTTTATTTCCTCCCACCGCATTTCTGTAAGGGCCGAGAATAAAACGAAGATGATGAAACCAGCTCTGCTTTTCTGCTTCGTCTCAAAAGTCTTTGCAAATTTAATGAAATAAATGTTTGTTGCCAGTGGACGACTGTATGAAAGACACGTGTTGCATGCCAGATATTGCCGCGAATGTGAAAAGTACACCAATCAAACGTAAACATACTGACTGGTCTTTTTTTTTTTCATTCAATGTATTCATTTGAGCAGAATAGATTTAATAATAGAAATTCCTTCATAATAATTTCACCTGCTCTACATACAGATAACCTGCAGAGATGTATAAATACATAAGCAATACAGTTTTACCCTTTGACAAATATAATGACAACTTTATTTACAATTGCATCAACTCGAAATGGAGCGGGACGAAGACAATCATATAGACTCCCACCCTTGTACATAATTTAGTTCAGAATGATGAAGAATTCGCACTTTTGGGCTTGTAATTGAATATCCGCAAACAGGTATTTTTAGTTATTTAATTTTTAATTTTCAATTTTGTTATTTAACCAGGAAAGTCCCATTTAGATGTAGAACCTCTTTTTCAAGGGAGTCCTGGACAAGAGGCAGCTAAAGTTTCACACAGTTACATACAATTACAGATTATTGTATGTAACTGTCATTAATTAATTTATTCATTTGTGTATTTAAATTTAGCTTTAATTGAGGTCATTTATGTGAATTATCCAGAAAGAAAGTAATACGCAGGAGGGGTGTAGAAAGCCAGGCCCAAAGTAATATCAAGTTTGGACATATTAATTTGGACACAACAGTAGTAGGTCTTTGGATCCTAAAGCTCTGTGAATATTGGCATTGGGTTGCGACGATTAATTATCCATCCATCCATCCATTTTCTTCCGCTTTATCCGTTGCCGGGTCGCGGGGGCAGCAGTCTAAGCAGAGACGCCCAGACTTCCCTATCCACACACACTTCCTCCAGCTCGTCTGGGGGGACCCCAAGGCGTTCCCAGGCCAGCTGAGAGACATAGTCCCTCCAGCGTGTCCTGGGTCTTCCGCGGGGCCTCCTCCCGGTGGGACGTGCCCGGAACACCTCCCCAGGGAGGCGTCCAGGAGGCATCCGGAACAGATGCCCGAGCCACCTCAACTGGTTCCTCTCGACGTGGAGAAGCAGCGGCTCTACTCCGAGCTCCTCCCGTGTGACTGAGCTCCTGACCCTATCTCTAAGGGAGCGCTTGTATCCGCGATCTCGTTCTTTCGGTCATTACCCAAAGCTCATGACCATAGGTGAGGGAGGGAACGAAGATTGACCGGTAAATCGAGAGCTTTGCCTTTCGGCTCAGCTCCCTCTTTACCACAACGGTCCGATACAGCGACCGCATCACTGCGCACGCTGCACCGATCCGCCTGTCAATCTCACGCTCCATCCTCCCATCACTCGTGAACAAGACCCCGAGATACTTGAACTCCTCCACTTGAGGAAGGACCTCTCCACCCACCTGTAGAGGGCAAGGCACCTTTTTCCGGTCGAGCACCATGGCCTCGGATTTG